AATCTGACTGCTTTTTAGCACCAAAATCTATACGAGGCAGCACATTATTTTATTGATATGTTAAACCAAATTTTTGATGCATTATTCTGTCGACAAAGATTGCTGTTTATCAGCAACTGAATGGTGTAAAAAAAAATAATCAGAGGAAAAAAATCTGTTTTTTTTTTTTTTTGCTATTATCTAAATTGTTAGCAATATTTTTAAAAATTTATAAAGTATAGTTATTGGCAGGATAAGGAATTTGAATAAACAAAAAATTACTTGAAAATTTACTGTTTGTACATTTTGTATAGTGGGATACTGAGATTCACTAAGATCAATAAATTTTCACAAAAAAGCTGAAAAAATCATTACAGGGTTCGCTTTTCTTTGACACCATCTTTAAAATATTATTACATTATTAAAAACTAAAATAAGCAAAGAAAAACATCCCTTAAATTCATATAAAATTTTTCTTTCAAAAATATAATTAGCATCAATAAATAATAGTTAATTGCTACAGAAAATTTTAAAACATAAATAACTTTTCTTCAGTTAATCAAATAAAAAAAAATCACACATTATGTAACATCGGTTAAAAACGTAAAAAAACCAATGTTGATATAATGTCATCAAAGTTTTGACTAAACATTGTAAATGTCAAGCAAATATAACTTCTTCTTGAATTTTCAGTAGCAGATTAAAAACAAAATATAATGTACTTGTTTTTAAAATTTACAGTATTTTAAGTGTGGCAAAAGTTGAAGAACAACCTTGAACCCAAATATAGGCCTATTTTTCCCTTTGACAATAACATCTTTATAGATTGGTGGTTTAACTAATCCCTAAAAAAAACTAGCTGTTTATTAAATTGATTGTTCTCTTTTAAGCCAACATTTTTCCTTTTAAAAAGTAGTATCTCATTATTTTCAGTGTAAATGTTTCAGCACTCTAAAGTTTTCGTTCAGCTCGCTTAAACTACATTAAACAAAAATAATTTCATGTATATTCTACAGCTTTTTTAAAACTGATTAATCGATTCTATAATCAAACAAAATAACACAGAATGTTAATTCAATCTGCAGTAGTTTCCTTTATGGAAACTGTTTAACGTAGCATCGAGATTACTATTTGGTCAACTTGATTGCCGACTGCACTGTAAATACCTATTAGCTGCTACAGAAGATGTCCTGTAGAAGTTCTAAGCAACTTAAGCTGCAAACTCCTATGTCACTAAGTCTACAGCAAAGATAACTTAACGTAAAAAATGTCTTATTATCGGATTAAGATGACCAAAAATAGAGCTCAACAAACTGCATAGTTATAAACGATTAGCGGCTATTGTAGGCTATAGTGTTAGAAGTCAAAATAAAAACTACTCAACGGTGATCAAAATGTTGAATAACAACTGCTTTTTCAGTGGTAGTTGTCGGCTTAAACCGGACTGATATACTAGTATAATTTATTGTATTTTAAACTGCTATTATAAAATCAAATATCTTTAATCGTGTAAAAAAATAAGAAATATTGAAAAAAAAAATTAAATAGAGAAATGGAAGAGAAAGATAAAAAATCAAAAATGAGTTTTATTCAATATTGTAAAAAAAATTTTTTTGAATAAATAACGATAAAAGATGTTTGCATGTTAATTAATTTTTTTTTTACAGTTGAAAAATATCCCTTTTTTTTTTTTGTTTTGTCTGAATAAGCTGTCTAAATTTTTTTCATTTCCTTTCTGTTTAACACTTTCCCAACATATTTTTGAGTGTCATCAAAAAGAAAATTTTTCTTTTATTTTTTTGCATCTCGCTTGCAAGTGCTAATAGTGTTTTATTGCACTAGATTTTTGGATGTAGTCTTTTGGCCAACGAACTGATAGGTTTAACGATGATATAAATAAAAATAGTAAAAAAGTTTGAAAGAAATAATAAAAAAAATATGCCAATTAGATTTATCGACCTAATGTCGTCATTGTCATTCCAACAAATAAAAAATTCAAAAAATTTCTGTCTTCAGTACATTACAAACAGCTCAAAATTTGATCTGAAACAGTTATAATAGTGACAATGACTGTCTTGTAAATTAGACATTATTTTCTGAAGCAGTTTCCTAACAACAAATGGTTATTGATGTTACGAAAACTAATATACTTATAAGGCATCGTCTTTTTTTTCTCAAAGCATTTCCTTTTCTTTTTAGTGATTTAATAGTTAAACGCTGTAAACAGCGTTTCTGGGTCGTCCAATGATTAAACAAAATTGCCTGTTTTTCTAAATTAAATGAGATAAAAAATAATATTTTTCAGGTCCAATAACCTCAACGCATGTGCTTTATCACAGTGTTTAAAAATTATTACAACTCGAGCATAACTTCAAAGAAGTTGATTCATATGATGACCTCTAAATTTACAAAACTTGCAGTTAAATGGCTCATCAGCATTAACAGTTATTTCAGCTCGTTCTTTCTCTGATTTGTCACCATATGCTAATTTGCAGCTGTTGACCTGTTGGTCACTAAGGTACTTCGAACAAATTTTAGCAACAAAAAACATTTGAAAGGATAATTTTTTCCTTGAATAATTAAACTTTCCTTTGAATTAATTCTTTGCCCACATCCTTTCATCGTACCATTCAACCTCTTAGTATTCCGCAGTTTGAAAGACAGTTTTAAACAGTATATCTTTTGTTACAAAGTTCAACTTGACTATTTCAACTGATTTCCATAATATATAATGATTTTCATCGCAGGCTATCACTCATGCGCCTGTATTTACCATAATATTTATTTTTGTGTTTTGAAAAACCTGCTTGAAGACTATGATTCCAAAAAAAAAAGAATTCACAAATGCCGCAAATTTAGGCTTATCTCCCTTGCTTCAATAATTTATGACGTGTTGAGGTGTACAGAAAAATCCCAGCAAGACATTTATTGATGATAACTGCTGCTATACAACAAATGTCTACAAAACGCTAGGTTTTTTGAATCGGTTTGGCTGTGATCTAGTGAATTTTCAGTGAATAATTCACCGCTTCTTCACTTCGGTAGTTCAACAGGAGGTTCTTTAGCAGATTTGTCGCAGTGGTTTGAAGGCTGCAAGAAAAAAAGTAAATAAGCAGACAAAATGGATATTTATCTCTAACGATTAGCTCAAGCGAAAGCCAAGATTTCAGCGCTAATAACGTCTCACCGACATTTTAAACATATTTCTGGTACCTGTTACTGACCGGTT